CTCTTTGAAATTGTGATAGAATTGACTTAACTCATGCTACTGCTCATTATTTAATCATTATTATTATTATTATTATATATGTCGTGTCCCTTCAGGACGTTGACAATATACTCACATTTGGGAGTTTCATAGTAAAGTGATGGTCAGTAAATAAATCTTTAATCTCAAATAACAAGGTTAATTGGAATAAAAGGGGTGGCTGACACTTTTTAAGATAATTTTTCAATTATAATTTTCAGCAATAAAATGTTTTGTCCTAGACTGTCAACCATTCAAATTCTCTCGTCATACACAAGAACCAAATTTGACCATTACTTTGATTTTAGAAATGCCACCCTAATTAAAAAAAAGCCTACTAATAACAATATTAAACACACGTCAAAAACATAATCTTACATCACCAACATTTATTGAATCCATTCTTAAAGAATTTAATGTATGTTGATCTAAAACCAACGGTGTCTACGTAAAATGTTCCCAAATCAACATGCGAAAATTCAACAAAACTAACACACACTTACGAATACACATTAACATTTGAATCCTACATAGACAAACTAATTATTTTACACTTACATACATAAAGCAATATTAACGGTTTTTCAGTTAGGCTTGGAATCCGTGGATTTCTTATAACTTCGAAGGGACGTGTCGTCTCTCCTTAAATTCAGAACGCCACAAATAAATATTAACGTTTGTTTGACAAGTCGAATGCACGTGAAACATGATTAACCAATGAAAATCAAACAAGAAAAAATAAAAATACTATTTCTTTCTTCTTTTTCTTCATATCCCATTCTCTCATTAAGCTTTAATAAGAATTAAACATGTTAGATTGATAAACTATTCCTATTTTTACTTTATCTTATCATATATATATATATATATATATATATTGATGCATATTTCATTAAATAATATAGACAAGTTTTGTCTATTTATTTTATGCAAATTCTTTTCATATCATCTGATAAGCTTAATAACATTATCATTAAACGAAGAAAGAAAATCACAATATTATATTATCAATAACTATTTTTTTAATCCTATCTAAGCTTTCGGCTTACATAAGCAATTATCACAGATGACAATTACATTACAATATATTAAGCAATACACGGACAAGACAGTGATGCTAGTCTGTTTCTGTTTACATGGAAGATTTCCAATGAACAACAAACTTGTGCATACGAGACGCTGGAGTTTGTCATTATAAATTTTTTGTCTTAGCTATTCACTCTTGAAGATTATCTCAGATTAGATTGAAAGTACTTGGGAAAATAAAATAAATGAAAAAAAAACTATAGCGACTTCCATAATGAATTTAATATCAACATTAAGAAAATCATCTGAGAATTCGAGAGGATTAGAATAAAAAATAAATAGATATATGCCCAGATTATTCAACCAAACCTGCTTGAGCGAAGATATGCTACCTAAATATATATATATATATATATATATATATATATATATATATAGATAGATAGATAGATAGATAGATAGATATAGTTTTAAGGTGTGCTATATATCAGAGATAGAGCCTATGTAAATATAAATATAAAAGTGAACATTGAAGTCAACACTCTGAGGCGACAGGCTGTTTCATACTAGACGTAATAATTAGCATGAAACAGCCTGTCGCCTCTGATTGTTCACTTCAATGTTCACTTTTTATATATATATATATATATATATATATATATATATAATAACAATATAAAAGCCTCACAGAAAGTTAAAAAAGCAATTTGCAGAAAAACGCTGTAAATAAAAAGTCAATGAATACAAGAAAGAACTTTTTTGATTGAAATGATGTTTACCCTCTACAAGACCCAAGAGCCACTCAAGGCAGAGGATCATAGAGTAAGAGGCAGAGCTTATAAGAATATGTGGGGAAGATAACGGTTGACCCTAGTTAAGATTCTAGTGATCGGGGAAGCGTCTTCTTGGGAGTCGGTTCCCAAAGCAGCGGTTCGTGGTTAAGAAGCTGCTCCAGTGGAATTTGCATCTCACCAATGGAATACAAAGGTAGGGTGGTTTTCTCCAGTGGTAGGTAAAAACTTGTAGAACAAAGGAATGTAGTCCGTCTGAACACTTTCCATGGAAATAATAATCGAGTGAATAACACTCTGTTGTGTTCAAAGATGAGAGCCGGTTCAATATTCCTACAAGTAATGGTACACCGTGCGAATATTGTAGATCAGAGAACGCCATCTTACAGACTGTATTCGCCCTTTATACGCAGTGTAGATCATTGTGGTATGTGGTGTTATCATTTACAACTCTTGCTCAACTACTGTTTTTTTATGAAGGAGATAGTTTGTCTCAAGGTTCTTGATAAGATCCAGAGACGGATATGCAATGTAATTGGCCCTGATCTGGCATCTCGTCTGCAGTCGCTCTCTCACAGACGTGCCGTCACCTCGCTCTGTCTTTTTTACAAATAGTTTCACGGTAACTGCTCCGATGAGCTGCTTTCACTGGTTCCCAGACTTCATGAATTTAAGCGTTCAACTAGGCTGGCTTCTCGCTCTCACCCTTTCACTGTCGAAACTATTAAATGTAGCCGTCTCTTCTACTCCAATAGCTTCATGGATCGCACTACTCGCATGTGGAACTCCCTCCCTATTTCTTGTTTTCCTGATAGCTATAATCTCCAACTATTCAAATGTAATGTCAATCGACATCTCCAGATGCCTTGATTTTTCCACTATCCTTCTCTTCATCCTTTCCTCTATCACTCCTATTTGCTCTCGCTCCAACTCTCTGTAACCCCTTGCGAGCTAGTGGCTTCCCGCCTTGTTCAACCTATTCTGCGGCCATTGGTTCAACAAAAAAGTGATGTGGTGTTCTAATAGAATAACGCCCAGGATTTTTCAACATCCATCTTTTATTAACCGTCTCTTCAGAATGTTGACGATAATGGCTCTCCACAACTCCCTGTCATTTGTAACTTTAATATATATCCCATTACTATCGCTCGCATTCTCTGTTCTACAATCCATATTTAATTTTTCAGCGGCATATCAACAATCAACATCCTTATGGGTCATTTAATGCTGAAATTTAATTTCTTGGGAGCATTAGTAATTTCTTTCACAAAAATATTTCTGGTAATATTTCTTTATTTACAATAATTTATTTCTGGTGATTTTCTTATTATGAAAATATATTGCTGGTATTTTTACTATAAAAATCTTGTTTTATACTTTCATAGTGTTTTGACTCTAGTTTGGTAACTATTTGCACAAAGCTGGAATCCTAACAAGTGCTACCACCTCGCCTTAGAGTAGACCAGGGAACAATACCAATTAAGAGATGGTTCCACGCTCCTTAAAATCTCCCTATCAGAGGCCTTGCTGCCAGGTGTAGTTTATCGTCATACCAAGGATGATCGACCAGCCATTTATATAAGCCAATTAGAAAAGTTACTCGCTGTTTCCCTTTCTTCCTCTTGTCTTCAATGTGCCCTGTGGGTGTCAAATTTTCTAACCATTCTTTCCTCAGTAGGTGTCCTAGATCTGTCTGTTTCTGATTATATGTACAAGTTTCCTTTTTATTTCCATTCATCATAAACCTTCCTCTTTGTTCATATGCACCGTCCATAGCATTCTCAACATCCTTCTGTAGAACCACTGAATCTGTTGCCTTAAGTATCCTTTTTATCTGTGAGGAATTTGTTCAGCATTCACTACTCTATAGAATTGATTTTGCATAATGATTCAATACTTTTTTGCTTCTAATGACATTTTCCTGTTTCTTAATACTTTTCTGGTGTGTTTGGAAGTCATCTTTTGCTGACCCAACCCTCCTTCGGATTTCGGTGTCATATTTTTCGGCCATTTACCAAATAGTTACATTTCTCTAGCTGCCTCAAAAACATCGTTGCTAGGTATTCCAATAAGAATGAAGACTAAATTATGAAGTTCGAACTATCTATGTCAAAACCTCTTTAATCAAAACAAATAAGATGAAGATAATATTCTGAAAAATTAATATTGAAAATGTCCCCTGAATTCGAGATAATGCAAAAAACATTGAATGAAACGCTATGAGGTTTGATCAAAATATATCGACAAAGTTGCGTGTAAGGGAGCTATGCTACACAGATTGAAGATGCTTGGCACAAATTGACCTTGAATCCTGTCACGCATACACATTAAGTTATAACGTTCTCGCTCATATATGTTGCTGATAGCAATGCTTGGAAGGAACGTGCGTAGAGTGTGGCAGCCTCACCACGCCGCAGAGGCTCCATCAGTAACCATGGCTTGTGCAATAGTTTTGGGCCAAGACAACATTCCCCAGCTCCGACAATATTCTCCAGATGCCGCCCTTTGCGATATTTCTCTCTTCAAAAATCAAATTCGAGTTGAAAGGAACACGATTTCAAGACTCCGTGGAAATGCAAGAGAATTCAACGAAGTAAGAACAATTCCAAGATTGCTTACATCAATGGAAACGTCACTCGATAAAGAATGTGATTTCAAAAGGGAAATACTTTGAAGGAAATTAAATGCTGAATTGATGTGTGTTGTAGTTTTATGTTTTTATAGCACAAGTCCTAATACTTTTTGATTAGGTCTCATATATTGAATACAAGAAAATGAAAATGGCGGATCGAAAAATAAAAAATGAGAAGAACTTTAATTCAATTAATATATTTTTATCTACAACGGTCGGCAGTGATTGTCTTTTTTCATGTGTTTATTTCTAAATTAAATCATATTGTCTTTTAGAAGTTTAATTCTATTTTTGTGCGGATTGGAGAACTGTTTAATTTGCAATTCAGAAAATCTATAATCTTTTACCTTTGTTTTGTTTTCTTTCTTTCCGAGATTTTTTAATCGATTAGCGGGAAAATTTGATTCAAACTAACCGCAGAAACTTCGAGAAAGATAATTCATTTTCCACTTTCCTTTTCATTTCCCTCTTTTCTTCATTTAATTTTTTTAACGTCTTTAGAAAAAAAAAAGTTTTGTCTGGGCACACATATCATGAATGCTATTTATATCTGCCTTTTATCGAGCCAATTAATAACCGTATCTTTGAACACATATCGACAACAGACCAATTTCTTCTTTGAGTTTTCTGGACGCAGAATCATCAGAAAGGCGTAAAAATTGAAAGAAAGAAAAAAGTTGCCTACCCACCACCGTATCACCCACCAAACAGGCGTATGTGTAAGCACCAGGTGCATTTGGTGAGAGCATAAGAGGACTCACATGGTCACCCAACCCACTTCTCTTTTCTTACTCCTTAGATTCGAAGGATGATTACTTGCTGTTGTCTTTCGAAAAGCACTAAATTGCCCGATGAACCCTTTCCAGAAAATGTAGCCTCACTCTCGCTCTCTCTCTCTCTCTCTTTCTTTCCCCCTCTCTCTTTCTCTCTCTATTTGTATTCTCTCTGTCTCTCTCTCTCTCTCACTTTCTCTTTCTATTTGTATTAATTCTCTCTCTCTCTCTTTCTCCCTCTCTCTCTCTATTTCTTTCTTTCTCTCTCTGTTTGTATTACTTCTCTCTCTTTCTCTCTCTATTTGTATTAATTCTCTCTGTCTCTCTCGCACCTTCTCCCTCTATTTGCATTAATTCTCTTTCTCTTTCTCCCTTTCTCTCTTTCTCTCTTTCTCTCTCTGTATTAATTCTCTCTGTTTCTCTCTCTATTTGTATTAATTCTCTCTGTCTCTCGCAACTTCTCCCTCTATTTGTATTAATTCTCTCTCTTTCTCCCTCTCTCTCTCTCTCTATTTTTTCTTTCTCTCTCTTTCTCTCTCTGTTTGTATTACTTCTCTCTCTTTCTCCCTCTATTTGTATTAATTCTCTCTCTCTTTGTATCTCTCTCTCTCTCTGTTTCTTTCTTTCTCTCTCTGTTTGTATTACTTCTCTCTGTCTCTCTCGCACCTTCTCCCTCTATTTGTAATAATTCTCTCTCTCTTTCTCCCTCTCTCTTTTTCTTTCTTTCTCTCTCTGTTTGTATTAATTCTCTCTGTTTCTCTCTCTATTTGTATTAATTCTCTCTGTCTCTCGCACCTTCTCCCTCTATTTGTATTAATTCTCTCTCTGTCTTTCTCTCTCTCTCTCTCTGTTTCTTTCTTTCTCTCTCTGTCTGTATTACTTCTCTCTCTTTCTCTCTCCATTTGTATTAATTCTCTCTCTATCTCTGTCTTTCTCTATCTGTATTAATTCTATGTCTCTCTTTTTCTGTCCCTATTTGTATTAATTCTCTCTCTCTTTCTCTCTGTCTCGCTCCCTCTCCCTCTATCTTTCTCTCGCTATTTGTATTAATTCTTTCTCTTTATTTATATTAATTATCTCTCTCTTTATCCTTCTTTCCTTCTCACTATCTCTTTATCTGACTATTTTTATTAATTCTCTCGCTCTATTTCCCTCACTATGTGTATTAATTCTCGCTCTGTTTCTCTCACCAATTCTCTCTCCTTCTCCTCCTCTCTCTATCTTTCTCTATTTGTATTAATTCACTTTCTCCCTCTCTCTCTCTCTCTCTCTCTCTCTCTCTCTCTATCTGTATTAAATTTCTTTCCTCTGTCTCTCTTACTATTTGTATTAATTCTTTCTCTCTCACACACACACACATACACACTCTCTCTCGCTCTCTCTCTCTCTCTCTTTCTCTCTCTCTCTATATATATAGTGATTTTCCAAGCGTGGGTTAGATGTGGCACAAGGCCGAAAGTAGGGGGCAACCATTGAGTATCGAACTCACTACTCAGGCGTAATTGAGAGACAATGTTTCCGTATAAGGAAATAGTTAATATTACCATTACTATCTATCTATCTTGATCTGATTACACCCCCCACACACACACAAAATATATATATATATATATATACATATATATATATATATATATATATATATATATATATATATATATATATATATATATATATATATATATATATATACTGTGTTTGTGTGTGTAATCAGACCAAGATAGATAGTAATGGTAATATTAACTATTTCTTATACGGAAACATTCGGCATTCAGTGATAATTTCGGTTAAAATTTATTAAATATTTCTATTAAAAGAATTTTTAAAGGAAAATAGGTTTCTCGAGTCTTATCGCTTTTACAAGAATTCATGGGGACTTCCTTTCTGGCAAGATGTTTGAAATCGTGTGGACTGTCAACATCTTCATGATGTCATTATTTTCTCTTAAAGTTATATGTGCTATCTATTTTAGTTGTTACTGCTGCTGACAGTCCTTAAGTGATATAGCTTCTTTGTTTGTGATCCTGTAGCGCCATTTCATAATATTCGAAAAAGGATTGTCCTCCTTAAGACCTACAGACTGCATTCGCTCAATGACAATTTTAATCATGGATCTGAAGAAGCGGTTGTATATAACTGACAGTTTAGATATTTCTGCACTGGTTCGGGGTCATGAAGACACCCATATGAAAGTCTCGATCCGACGAAGTTATTTAAAAATATCTCGAGATTTTTGGTTACGGTTTTGGTTGTGTAGCCACTTGCTGTGTTGCGCGAAACTATCTCTAGTGCAGCCTATTCTATGTTCAATTTCTTTATATCCGATACTAAATTTATACTAAGTGTTTAGTGTTTACTAATTCCACATCCGGAATTTTTTATGATGGATTAAGGGTAGGTGCTTTTATTCAAATTCCAGATTATAGTTTCTTTTTTAGAAAGGTTTATCTCAAATCTTATCTCTTGGACCACTTGCTAGAGGATGTTGATTTTTTTGTTCAAGATCCTTCTTATCTAAACTCTGAGTACCTGTCATCGATATAGAACACCTCATCATCAATAGATTGACCTTTGGGGGGGAGGAGAGTAGAAACACTGTTCTTTTATTAATAGATTCGTTTGGCATGTGGTATGGAATGCTTAAAGGATCAGTGCCCATCTTTTCACATATTGAGGAGTTGATATTCATAGAACGGTAAGAACCTAATTAATACAATTTTTCATTAGTACTTTCACCATCATCTTTCTTTTGGTATCAGTCGGAGAATCTACCCCTAAGCCATTGGCTCACTGCAGGGGTGAAGGTGAATTTAAATGTATTTATTTTTAGATAAACAGGCCAGGGAGAACTCGATTCGTTTTATAGAAGAGTATTGCATTAGTAGCAGTAATAGTCACTGTTTACAAAATCACTTTTCCTCCCCGATAGCTCAACTGAAATAATTTTTTTTCAGGTGCATGTATATATTGTCGTGTGTGTACATACATACATACCAACATAATAACATTCAAATCCTAATTTTTCAAGCATTGTAATAAAAAATGGTATATTTCCAGTGAACAAAAACCAATAGACTAGATAAATGTCTGATTGTTCGATTTATATCATGTACCGGGGGGTACATAATCCCGTGGATCGATAGTGTTTTTCGTAAATGATCACATACTGATGGTGTATTTTAGAGTCAGACTTTTCCTCCAATAACCAATGTTTCCTAGCGAGATAGAAAATGTCATTCACAAACAACAGTATTTGATTTATCAGAGGTGCTGTCACCAGATATCGGCTTTAACTACCATTGTCACTCTTTTCTTTCTGATCTTAAGAAAAATGGAACATATCAAATTTATTTTGTTCATCATATTTACAACGGCAATCTGTTAAACAGCATTTTTTTTCACCATTGTGAGAAAGATTTGGGGATATTGAAACAATATTAATCAAACCGTTATTTCAGAAAAAATAGTGTAATTCTAAAAAGCTTAGAAAACTTAGATTCTAAGGTTTGAATGCTTCGGAATTTAAGATTCAAAATCAAGAATTGAAGGATTGTATGAATGTTGGAACTTGTCATCTCCTGATCATATAAGTTTATGATAAAGATAACGTAATTCTAAGGTTCAGAAAAATGTGAATGGGGGGGGGGAGAATTTAAAATCTGTACCAATACAGTTAAATGCAGTTTTAAAGCCATTTAAATTTCATATTAATCGTTTTTCGTTTTAATAAAATAGTCAGAAGGATGCAGTTTTACAATAGACACTACAGCAAGAAATAATCATTTTCTCAAAGATATTTCTATATATTAAATTAAAATTAATATTAAAAGAATATAAAGTTTTATAAAAGTTAATTCATTCATTTATTTATAGAGCGCACTTCGTGCCGCTGATGCCACTACTTCTCCTGTTTCTGTTCTATTTGGGGTTCATGGCGACATTCATGGCAAAACAATGCAATGATCTCCCGGTCCCTTTCCCTGATATATATATATAATGAAAGAACAGTAGGATATATAATCCGGTGTTCTTATAGATATTTTTATTTTTACAAAATAGTGCTCAATGTAAATTTACAGAGCATTAATATTATAATTAATTGATTTAAAATGTGTTTTTTTTTCGTTACAGTTCTAACCATGTTTCAAAAATGGAAGCTATAAGCCCCAAATTTAATTTTGTAATTAAATTAAAGACATTAGTACCATTTCATCCTCAAGCGAAATTTGGAGTAACTTTAAGTAAGTTACTAAGTTACTCCAAAATTCGCTTGAGGATGAAATGGAACTAATGTCTTTAATTTAATTGCGAAATTAAATTCGTGGCTTTTAGCTTCCATTTTTGAAACATGGTTAGAACTGTGTAGCGAAAAAAAACATATTTTAAATCAATTAATTTATAATATATATATATATATATATATATATATATATATATATAGACTGGATGTTAGAAAGGTTTATAGGAAATCCAATATGCTATGTGAATAAATTGAAAATTAGTCCCTCGACGGTAATTAAAAACAAAATATGCACATATAATCCGTAAAATTGTAAAAAAATCTTTTTTAAATTCGTAATCCCAACTGCTTGTATCCCATATTACCATAAATTCTTCTTTATATACCGTGTCCCTCAGACATAGGCGATCATGGCTCTCCACAACGTCCTGTCCTTTTTAGCTCTTAATAAATTTCGTCTTTTCGTTATTTCCCCTAAATCCTGTTATGCTATCCATTTACTCAAGCTCATTCTTCTTTTATGTGGCCTTTGTCGATCATGGCTCTCCACAATTTCCTGTCTTTTCTAGCTCTTAATGAATATTGTTTTTTTGTTATTTCTCCTAAATGTTGTTCCGCCATCCATTTCCGCAAGCTCACTCTTCTTTTTTTTGTGCTGTATCCGTTCAAAACTTTGTCGATCATGGCTCTCCACAATCTCCTGTCCTTTGTGGCTCCTAATATATTCTTTCTTTCTGTTATTTCTCCTAAACCCTGTTCCACCATCCATTTACGCAAGCTTACTAATATGTTATGCGTCCTTTTCCTCTCTTTCCCTTGCCTTCAATCTGCCCTGTAAGTATCAGATTCTCCAAGCCCTCTTTTAACTGTCTCTTCCCGATCTTAAGTATAAGTTTTCTCTTTGTTTCCATTCTTTCCAAAACCTCGTCGTTGCTCACATGTTCGACGCATGTTATCCTCAGCATCATTCTGTAGAACCACATTTCTCTTGATTCAAGTCTCTTCTTTGAGGAAACTGTCCAGCATTCACTGTCACATAGGAGGACAGATACTACTGAAAAGTTTATTACCGTTTTCTTTGTTTCCAGCGAAATTTTCCTGTTTCTTAATACCCTGCTTAGCTTTTGGAATGCATCTTTGGCTATCACAGTACGTTTTCAGATTTCAGTGTCGCACTTTCCATCCTCTGTCAAAACACTTCCGAGATATTTACATTTTTGTACTTATTTGATTTTGGTATCTCCAATTTGCAATTCTTCTTTTTAGACCCATCCTATTGCTAACAGCCATGCATTCTGTCTTCTTGCAATTGATGCTTAGTCCTTTCTTCTCGTTTTCTATTATTTCCTTCTCTAGGGGTTTTTATATTTTTATCTCCGTGTCTGCTATCAAAACTGTGTCGTCTGCATATCTTATGTTGTTAAGATTGTGAACACCAATA